TGGCAGGATGCAATTCAGATGCTGCCTTCTTCTGCTCACCATCAGACTCCGCTCACTGAAGGAACAATGTGCAATACCAAGCAGAAACTGCACCACCTACCAACTGACCACACAACCTCCTGTATGTCCCCATCTTAACTTCTGCTACCCCTCCAGCCTACACCCACCAAGAGGAAAAAGCCTTCCTGCAGCATCCCCCTGGCTCCTCACCCCCCAGCAGGAACACTGTCATGTACCAGAACTGCTTGTGCGGCAGTTGAGCCTCACCACATTTCAACATCTTCCTTCCGCTCTATGATTCTCTCGGGACAGGGCTGTTGTGTTGTCACAAATCAGTCTCAAACACTTACAAATGGAGCAGCTTTCTCCCACGGTGGAGAAAGATTCACTTCCCACTGATGTCGTCTTAACGTGTCTATCAAGTCCTAAGATGGAGCTTCCTTGATTTTTACTGCCATCTTATCTGACAACTGCTGTCTTGGCCAACAGCAGATCAAAGCTAGGACCTCCTGAGCTAAAAGCTGTGAGCTCTGCTGCAGCGGCTAATCCTCTGTGGATAAGAGCACGGGAGGGACCCTTCAGAGGAGAGGAGTCAGGTACACCTGTAAGTCGCTGTGATCTGGATCTCGGCGCGGCAAGCCGCGCAGCCAGCCACCAGCTCCCGCATCTCGCGGCACGGAGCACACGCGATCCACGCATCTTTTGTCATTGCACCAGCTCCAGAAACGCAGCGTCGCTTTGTCAGCCTGAACACGGACCTACCCGAGCTGCTCTTCCAACCCACTGCACACATCTTCCAGCCCCTCCGCACGCCCCGCGCGCGTGGTGCAACCCTTGCTGCCATCTGCTGCCAGCCTCCACGGATGCACTGCAGCTCACGGAGCGTGAAAGCCCACCGCACGCTTGCGCTCGCCATGAATTACCGTGTTCTGCAAATTAACGATGGAGCAAGGGCAATTAAAAGGGAAGAAAGCCAGGGTAATGCATCATAAAAGGGGCTTTATTCTTTTATTTTGTCAATTGCAATTTAGATTTAATTATTTATGGTAATACTTCAGAGTGTGCTACTAAGCGTTCTATAACGTGATTTATAAAAGGAAGGAAACCTAAGTAATAAGTAATGTTCGCTACTGCATCTGCTATTAAATCTTTGCTGGGGCGGAGAGCCACACACCAGCCTTCTGTGTATGCAAAGTACCAATTAGCAAAGCACTATTGTAAAACGCAAAGGTTTAATCAATGGGAAAAATCCACTTGAAAACAGCGAGCATGCTGATTTCAGTTATAAAAATTACCACATTTCTATACAGTAAGTGGCTTTTTATCTGCAACTGAGGAGCACTTAAAGTGGCACGTTGCTCCTTTGGGTAGCACCGGAGGGCAGGAGTACCTGACCGCCGCGCTCTGCGCAGTGCAGGCAGGAAAACATCCCGTCCAGCAACAGCCAGCGAGATGAGGCTGATTTTGCACGTGCACAAAACGAGATGTTTTAAGGTGATCACTGCAGAGATTCTACGACTCGGGCTGGGTGCGTGACCGGGAAACAGCAAGGCTTGGTTCCGTGCCAAGGTATGTCAGCAATTTGGGACACCATTCCCCTCCCTGGACCCATATCCAGGCCCCATCTGTCTGCGCTGCCTGGTTTTCTATCAGCTCTCAGGCGCGCGAGACCTGCCCCTTTGGCTGTGCAGCACATCAGGGTGCAGCTCTTGGGGAAGGCCTCCCCTAACTCACTGCAGTAATGCCTATTAACGTTACTCGTACAACCAGCTGAATCCTTAACAAAATGATAATACGTTCCATTTATGAGAGGCCATTGGAAATAATCGTGGAGTTAGCAATTTCCAGTTCTGCGGCTGCCCTTGACCATACACAAGAAACAACGAAAGTGTCCATATGCAACCGAAGGAAAAGAGAAGAAACAGGTCTGCTTTATACCTTTCAATTATTATTCTCTTCAGCTTCACTAGGAAAAACAGCAGGCAGAAAGCAGTGTGGTGCTTTGGTTTTTTAATTTAAATAGCAGTTTCCTTTAAATAGAATGTTCCTGCCATAGAAAGATTTAAATCACTGACTGAGATCAATTAGCCTAGGAAACAAGGGAAGTAGTTTAATGGTCCTTTGATTGCAGAGGCCACAGCTCCTCCAGCGCTGCACTGGAAGAAGAGGCAAGTTCAAGCTTTCAGCGCCACGTTTTGCCGCAAAGGGAGCCACTCCTCTGCGAAGGTGGTGCCTTCCAAGAGTCAGCATCCCGTTTCCTACCTGTGGTGTGGGCTTCCCACCCCAGCACCGCCTGGCATTGCTTGCCCTGGGGGCTGCAAGGCCTTGGCAGCCCCTCTGGTGAATTAGGGCAGGAAATCGGGTCAGCATCGTGGCAAGCGCCAGCCAAATGGAAGCCGGCCAAGGGATTACGCGAGAGGCAGTGTGACAGAGCCCAGGGCCATCTGATGGGAGAGGACATTGTCAGAACAGAGTGACAGCTCCTCACACAGCCTCTGCAGTTGTGACAGACAAAGCTGTTTGCTGTTTGCATGCCTCAGTGGGGAGCACCGCAGACCAGCTTGGATGCTACTGACTGGGCTGGCACAGGCCAGGCCTCTCCAGGCAGAATTCAGTAGCCCCTCCAAAATCAGGAGTGATCAACCCATCTCACCAGGCAGACAGTAACAGCCACAGAACAATTCAAACAACTGGCACATAACGGGGAGCATCCCCAAGGGCAGACAGGCCAGGGAGACGCTGACACGCTCTACAGGTTAGAAGAAAAGACAACGAACGCCTGGACCAACATCTTCTGCACATGAAGCAGGTTAAGGGCAGCCCCGCCTCAGACACTGAGTCCTGCAAAGTTCCAGTACGTACATCTGTGAGCAGCCAGAAGAAATGCAGCACAAAACCTCACAGTTCAGGATCCAAGGACACTGCAGAACTACAGGAGAGAGAAACTTGGCTGCTAGCAACAAGGTGTCTGCTGAGCAGTGACAGATTTCAGCAGGGCTTGGGCCACACAACTGGTGCCTTCTGCGTCTGATCAGCATCAGCCCTTCCTGAGGGCACATTTCCACCAGAAGTGCTTCATAGCAGTCAGACAGTATGTGGGATCTCCCAGTTTTGCTGCAATCTCTGAGCAAATCTCGCCCCACAGAAGACAGGGACAGACAAGATGCTCGTTCCTTCCCAGGAAAACCAAAACCACAGAAAAACTGAAGTTACACAGCCCTGATTTTGAGAAGCCTTGATTCTGCAGAGTGTCCACTCCCAGCAGTGAGCACACAGGGCTTGGTGTACACTTAAAAGAAAAAAGGACTCCAGTTTTCACAGGCACTCAGACATCACAGTAGATGAATCAGGGCCCTACTCATACAGAGAGGCACTTACACACACATGAACTCTCCATCTGCGCCTGCGAAGCTGCATGGCTTGCTTTGAAAACAAGAGGACAAAGGGATTTGGCCAGGAGTGTTACAGCAAACCACTGGCAAGAATGGGACCCTGGAGCCCTGACGTTGGATTTTCCACTGTAAGCATCCCCTCCCCTCCTGACTCTACTGCACAAAGAGCCAGGAACGTAGATTTCTGCTTGTAGTCTCCTGCTTTTGCAGGAGCCAATGCAGGCAGCAGCCTACCTACCACCAGTGCCCACTTTCGCAAGCCACAAGGCCACCCTGAGCCCCGGTGGAACACAGCAGCTAGCTTTAACCATCTACCCGGGGTGCTCATAAACCACCTACAAGAGCGTTGGCCGCAACATCCAAATAGGACCCTGGATAAATGCTTGGGCAAAAGGCTCAAGCCAGGTTCCTTCCTGCCAAACACCGCACTGCTCCTGCTACTCAAGACAGGCAGCTCAAACCGAAGCTTGGGTATGCCTTTATAAACACCGGCGGCTCTGTCTGAGGTACAGACTGACTCACAGCTACACACCAAAAAACCAGCCCTACAGTGAACCCCCCGGAGCCCAGCACGCTTCCCGAGCTGATTAAACGAAAAAGAACAAAAAGAAACGTTATCTTTCTGCACATGAACATTTCTCCCTGCAAAGAGGAGCTAAGTGTGAACCGAACACAACTCAGGAGTGAGGCAAGGGCAAACATAGCCCCACTCACCTACTGCAGAGAAGAGAGAAAGCACCTTTCAAAAAAAATCTCCCAGCAACAAAAGGTCGAGGATCCATTCAATCCCCAGTGACCACGTCATCTTAAACCCTGATAACGAAGCGATTACGTTAAAAGCTGTCAAGGGTTACGCTGACCAGAGCAGCCCTCTCACCAGATTCAAGCAGCTTTGCCAGGGAGGAAAAAAAAAAGTCATAATTCAATCAGCTTGGAAGAGTCTATTCCCCACTGATCCCAAGTGATCAGCCTTCATGTTGAAGGAACATTACATTCAAGTCGCTGAAGATTTTCACTTTCATTTTTTTCTTCCCCTTTTCATTTTTTAAACCAAGAATTGAAAGGCAGCAAAGATAAAAACTGTGTTAAAACTGGAACTGGTTCACTCAGGGGACGGAGAAACATAATACTCTTTCTTCAGATGCTCTTTTAAATCCAGCCCCAGCAAGTAACATGACAACGGTCACTAGCGTCTGACAGATGCCCAAAAGCCAAGAGCAGAAGAGGACAATATGGGCGAGCTGGGTGGAGATGGGGCCAGGAGAAGGTGGAGGAAAGCTCTGGCAAGAGCTGTCAGCAGTTCCCTCCCCTTCTCTCCAGCTCTTTGGCAGTCTTAGGGGCAATCTAAGCTTCCAAGCAGGCTGTGAGGACCTAGCTGCCCTACGTCCCTTTGAGGCAGGACTGGGAACAACAGGAAGGCACTGGTGGAAAGCTAAAGATGTCAGAAAATTAAAGCACATGATCAGGTACTGAGCACTTCTTTAATGCTAAAAAGAAGCAGGGGATACTTTGCTGGCTCTAAGCACTAAAGCCTGCTCTTGCTGTCCTTCTCCGGGGGAGTGAAGCATGGGTGAAAAAAAGGAGCAGGGGAACAGCAGAGTCACTTACTTTCAGCTACGCAGCCCATCAGCAGCACAGAGAGGAGGTTCACGAGGGAGACCAGCGAAGACATCCCAGGGCTGGGATGGATCCTCATCCTCTGCAACGGCCTTCAGCCCCAGCCGGGAAGGCTCCGGGTCAGCAGGACTCACAGTGTCTCCCCAGCGTTGTCAGCACCTGTGGATGCACAAAGGGCAAAGGGGAGAGCACTTAGAGAGAGGGAGGCGGGCAGCCGACATCCCAGCGGGAGGGGGTAGCCGAACAGAGCCCGGAGAGGCAGCGGGGTCCCGAGAAAGCGATTGCTGTGCACGGTGCCCGTGGGGAGGCCAGGCAGCCCTTCGCCTTGATGCCACGAAGGACTCGGCCAGCTCCATCGCCAAGCAGCCTGGTGGGGACGCGAGGCCAGCCCGCTCCAGCCTCCCTGCCTCGGCAGGTAATGGCGAATTTCCGTGCCCACACTCACACAAAGGGAGGGAACGGCGCAAGAAAGAGAAGCGTAATCAGGAGGCACCAACTGCGCAGAGCCCGTGTTTAAAGTTTAACACCCGTCAGCTTCTCTCTTCTCCTCAACACGGGAGAAAGGCAGCGCTGGCCGAGCAGCACACGAGCAATGAGGTGTGAAGGGATCTGACCCGACAGGGCCCAGGGACCCTCTTAAAGGGCGATTCTTCCACAAAAGCGCAGGGCGGGCGAAGAAAAACCGAAACCTCACAGATGAAGAACCCAGGAAGGAAGAAAAAAAAAAATCCCCCACAAGGGAAGATGAAGCAGGAGATGTCTCCTGTGTCCCCTTTTGTTTGCTGAGGATCTGTGCAGTTGGGGGAAGGATTTCTGCCCTGCCCAGGCAGGCTCTGTGTGGTGCAGCACTCACCCCAACACAGCAAGCCTGAACCGCAGCCCTGGAACCAGCGTGGGTGTCCCAGAGCCCCTCTTGCAAGGCAAATGCACGCTGGCGAGTCTCCCAGGCTTCTTACCATGGCTGGGATTACAGCAGCTATTCCGCATGTCTGATAGCCCTTACCCCCCTCAGTGCCTCAGTTTCCCCATCTGCAACACACAGAGGAACCACGTTACTGAGCTAACACAAAACTGGAAGAGACAAAACCGGGAGCAGGATTTACCCAAGTTGATCCCGAGGAACCAAAAGGCATACCAAGCAAACACAGCCTCCAAAGGACACAGCAGAGATCTACTGACCGCTTCTGCCTTGGACGTGGCAGAACGCGGCTGCAGGACAGCACCAGCATATTAGCACGGCTGCGACGGGGGAGAGCGAGCTCAGCACCAGGCTGCTCCCCTTGCCCTGCCGGCACATTTCCATGGAGACAACTCCTGGCTCCAAACAGAGCTGCCTGCTTACAGCTTTCTTCTGATCCCTTTGCAAAGCTGGAATGGCATTAAGGGAGCTGTATTCTTAGCAACTACCCCGGTCCTGTGTGCCAATACTGGCAAATGCTTCCTTCAGTGAGAGAGGCAAGCTTTGCCCCAGAAGGGCTGAAAATAGAGTGAAAACTGCAGCCACAACCTCCCCGTAGGGTCGGCAGCTAAGAGGTTCCTCCATGAGACAGACTCTGAGCACCAGAATAATGGGCCAGAGTTGTGTGAAAGATGCTCTCAGATCTGTACAGATTCCTTCCTGCTATCAGTTACCCCAATTAAAAATCAAAACCGGGGTTTATCACCTCTTGGAGAAAAGCCATGTAGGAGATATTGTACAGTGATCAAAGGCTTTAAAAGGACTAAGGGGATAGTGAGGTTGTTTAAGCTTTCTGATACACATCAGGGTATGAGACCATCGGGACAAGCAGTGTGAAGGGGCATTTTAATCTTTCTGTCCCATTAACTGTCCAAGGCTGAACTGTACAGAATTAAAAGAAAAGCCAGGATAAACAAGAAGTCCCCATGTGTACTCAGCCCTAAAGAGCAACTTTTCAGGGTGAAGCTTTGGACTTGCACTTTGAGAATCACAAAGACTCTGCTGTGTGCTCTGTGCTAGTCTAGATCCACCGTGCTTCAGTGCTGGCTTGTGACAAGCAAGCAAAAATACCGCTATCACAGAAAAAAGAGAAAAAATCCAGATTATACCACTGGGAATCTCTTCAAATGTTTGTTCTAGACGCACTTAGAGAAACATACAGAGGCTTCAGCCAGACTTAACGTGGGGTTTGCAGGGTTCCAGGGCGCAGAACAACACGTTGGGGTTTCTTTTGTTGTTGTCAGAGGCAAGCAGAGACCGGGAACATTATGAATAGCTGCGATGGTAACTGTTAATTAAACTGGGGATGTGGCATCAATGCCAGCACAACAAATGGAACCGAGTTGCTGTTCGCTGGCTCCCCCTTCTCCCTGCTTCAGTCATGCAGCTCCTAGTTCCCACCAGCAAGGCTGGAGGGGGAGAAGGCAGGAGCCGGCAACAGCAAGCATCCTCCCAACCATTTTAGTTCTCTATATTAAAAAAATAAAACCAGGGCTAACTCAGCCAGCATTTCAGAAACACTTGTTTGCCTTTATCAGAGCAATATCCTCCCCACAGTCCCAGTAAATGCCACCAAACATCTCCTTGAGCCTTGTCTGCTCTCCAAAAGCACCACCAGCGACCTTCCATAGCTCAGAGCAGCCAAGAGGCTGCGCTGCCCCATGCAGCACGCCCCCAGAGTCCCCCCGATGAATGCAGGCATGTCAGGGAAATGTTCTGCCTCCTACAACGAGAGGAGCCTGGCAGCTCCACGCTCCCACATCTGGCACGGCTTTTCATGCCGTATAATGGGCTCCGATAGAGAAAGTCTGGTAAAGGGGATAGAGCAGCAGCTCCAAGATTAGAGAAGGAGATGCCAGAGGGTGACACTTCCGCTCCGGTGCTAATGTGCTTCCCGAGCCCTTGACAGAGACAGAAAGTGCTGGCAGAGATATTAGGACACGTCAACTTCAATCCAGCAACTCATCCTTCAGAGCAGGTACATCACGGGCTGTCTCCCCCTGGATACGGGATTTTCAGGACAGCAAGACCTGCACCCACCTGGATCCCCTGCAGATATCAAGGAGAGACTGGGACAGGAGTTTGCTCTGCTTTCTCAGTAGCACCCTGGCAATAGGGAGACTGGAAACAGTCTCTGATCCACTGCACGATTCCTGCCTACGGTGCAGAACACACATTTGGAAAACCAGCTACTGTGCAACAAGGCTCTCCTGCCCTCCCAGTGGTGCTGAATTCAAGTGGGAATTGTTTTGATGAATGCTCAAATCACAAGGGCTCTATCACCCATCCTCTCCCCTCCTCTGCATGGGCACACCTTACCTTGTCTATGCTCTTTGAAGCAGGCTTGCATCACTCCTGCCTGTCTGATGAGCACCCAGCCAAGCTCCTGGCACCATACAAGTAAACATAATGGCAGTTTTCCCGCGCTGCTCCACAGACCTGCAAACCCTCACTAAATTCTCTGGCACAAGATCTCCTGCAACCCAAGCAAATCACCTAATAGACCTCAATCCTTGCTAAAGAATGCAATTAAATGAAGCCGTGGCCCCCAGTGGGGTCAGATTTGTGCTAGATATGGTCACATTTCAGGAATAAGATTAATTCTTACAGTAAAAGAGCTCCTGTAAGGCATTCATTCTTGTGCACTGCCTGATCTCTAGCTCTAAGCATGTACATGTGTGCATCTTGTAAGCGCTGAGCACAGGAGCTTGAAGAGTATTATTAAGAATAATAAAACTGAGAAGCGTTTGCAAGAAGCAGCTTCCCACTGCAGCTCCTCCAGCCAGTACCAGGCTAGGGCTCTCCAGGGACCCATGGGTGCGAGGCACAAAGGGTGAAATGCTCAGAAGCACCTACATTTCTTAAGAGCTTAAGTTCCATTGAGAGTCAAAGGGACTTAACCTAAGCTGCTAAGATGCTTTTGAAGATTTTCCTCCCAGCAACTCCCATTTCAGAGGGTGCTGGACACCTAACTCCCTTAAGCTACTTTGGGTATCCGAGGGGATATAGGAGGAGGGGGCTTTATCTACAGGCCAGTTTGGCTAGCTTGGTCCCTGCTGCTTAAAGAGGGAGCCTGTGGGAAATGCTGCTAAGAACAAGTGTCTGCACAGTTACAGACATTGGGATGGGTCAGAGCTATGCAGGTATTTTACCATATGTTACTTTTTCTTAGCCCCATGGAGCCAGTGATCAAAGCATTTGCTCTGCATTTAAAAAAAAATCCAGGAGAGAGGGATCATGCCTTCATTTCAGATTCATTACAATAAAACAACTTGAAAAAAATTTCAGAAAAAAAGCATTTGGGCTTCTCTTCTGTTTCACCTGCACGTGAAAAGGAGAAGGGCAATTTTAAAGAAATTCTCTGCAAAAAGTTCCGCACAGATCTAGCAGATGATTAAACATCTTCATTTTCAGCTGCTGCTGTGGGAGAATTACTCCCATTAGACATATCAATCGAAGCAAACACCTTGCAGGCAGAGGGCTGCACTGAGGTCTCTTTTCCTTCCAGCAGCACCGGCTCAGTTTGTGCTGCGTATTAACAAAGGTCAGTGGGTCACTTCATTTCCTCCCAGCAACCTCTTTAAAGAAAGAAAGAAAAGCTTTTAGCACAACCACTACCTCATTTGTCACCTCCCCTGGGGAGGGGAGATATGAAATTTAAATTCGCCACCCCACGTTTCTATCTCGCTCCTGTCTAACACCCTGCCCTCGGCAAACCCAACCCCACCAGCGCTGGGACGGGGATGTCAGCACTGGTGGTTCGTGCAGTGTGGGCAGCTGCCTGCTTGGACCTGGTCCAGGACCCCGCTGTGGGACGTTCCCTGTGGGTGCCGGGGAGCAAGGAGATGCCAACACGCTGTCCCTGGAAGCCCACGTGGCCCACGTCTCCACACTCAGGTTGCTTTGCTGGCAAGTATTAGTCTCTTTTCCTGGGGAAACAGAGCGTGAAGACATGAGTTTCAAAGTATGTGTTTCTGACACGCATTTCCCCCTCCCACCCACCAACGTGCTGACCAGCTAAGCCCTATTTAATACTGGGGGAGAGACCGCAGCCACCGTAGCTCCCTATCGAACACTTGAAAGTCAGTGTCAGGGCAGAGAGGGAGATACTGCTGATGCCTCTGCTCGAAAAGCAGCCACTCAACCTCAAACCTTGGTTAGACAGGAGACCCCCTGAGGAAGCTCACCCAGAGAGCCGGGT